GTGGCATGTGGAAAACAGGGGAAGGAAGCTAGAACTCCCCCATCCTGTTGGCTGCAGTAAGCTACTATACTGTCTCTCATGTAGCTTCACCCTCCTTTTAAATGTGTGTTAGCCAATCTGGTTCTCCAAACAGCCATTTATGCCCAGAGATGGGAGGCACGACTTCTTTCAATACGAGTGCTGGCTTTTGAAGTATTTGCCTGAAACCCTTCCATTCCACCGAGCTTCCTGCAACAAAGTTTGGCTTTCAGGTGACACATCAGCCTTGATTACTCACTGCCCTGACGCAAGAACAAAAATTACTTTTGTCCACGAGTAAAGTTACATATATTTAAAATTTTAAAACCTACCTAGGGTGTCTTCAAGCGACTCACCAATTAAACACTGCGCATAAAAACGCAAACAGGCACTTGAAGACTGTTAGCGAGCCCGATGCGCAGCACCGGTATCTTGCCTCGCACCGGTTAATTAACAAAAAGGGACGGACGGGCCTGCCTGCCCCCCGCCCCCCGGGCTCCCACCCGCAGCCCCACGCCGTAACGGGAGTGGCAGCTCCGCCGCGGCCGGCTCCAGCGCCCACTCCCCAGCCCCGGCGAGTGGGGGTGAGCGGCGGCTCCCCGCTTCCCCGCGGCGCGGCCCGAGGGAAGGCGGCGAAAGGCGTGGGCCCCGCCGCTCCCCCAAGCCGAGGGAGCGGGACGCCCCGGCCCGCGGCCCGGCGGAGCCGCCGGGGCAGGGGGAGGGAGCGCAGCCCCGGCCTGGCCCGGCCCGGCTCGGAAGGGGCCAAGCGGGACGCGGCCGGCAAGGCGGCTCCACCAGCCCCGCGGCGGGAAGGGCCGGAGCGCCCGGCAGCCCCGCGGCAGCGGTGAGAAGTTGCCGCCGGGGGCCGGGGCGAGGAGGCGCTGACAGCTGCGCACTCCCGAAATCCTCCCTCCTGCCTCAGAGAAGCGGGGCAGAGGCCGCCCGCCATCCGCTACCTTGTCGCAGTAGAGCCCCACGAGCTGCTTCATCCGCCAGTGCGGAGCCGAGAAGACATCCACCTCCTCGGGGAAAGGAGCCATGTTCTCCCCATAGAGCCCCGGCGCTAACGGCGGCGGTAACTGCCGCCCCCGCGCATGCGCGGCGCGGCGCGGAGAGAGCCCCCGCCGGCCCCCCCGGCGCCACGTGACCGCGGCTCACCCCGCCAACGCCGCCGCCCGAGAGGCCGCCGCGCGCATGCGCCGCTCGCCCCGCCCCTGCCCGCCGGGGGGCGGAGGGCGGCCCCTCAGCCGGGTGGGATGGCGGCCGGCTCGGCCGCTCCGCTGTTGTGCGCGGCAGGGCGGCGGCCAGGGGCCAGGCCGGCAAAACGCGGCGGGGGGGAGGAGGCTGGCAGGAACTGCGGGCGGGCTGCCGTCGGGGCATGGCCGCTCTCCCGCGGTAGTGGGGTCTCCCGGCCCACAGCGGTTTTTATGCCTTTGATTGAATCGGCAGGAATTCGAGGCTGTGTTGTTTACGTGAAGTCGGGAAAACTCGCTTCACCCACAGTACGATGAGGAGGGGACAGTGCTTGAGGAATAAAGAGGGCATCTGTAAATGAACTGGTGTTTGTGAGGGAAGGCGTATGATGTGTCCCAAAGTGGGCTGCAGTGGGCAATGTCCCCCCAACTTCTTGCAGCGTTTGTGCCAAATAAGCAGAGTTAAATGCTGCCTTTGTTTAACATCCAAGATTAAAGGAGCAGGAGCACCAGCCTTTGATACTCATGCCCGTGCAACATCTCAAAAACAGTAGGGACGCTGAGCAGAATTTGGATTACACAATCGATTTGGCAAAAGGTGTAACTGTCAGCCAATGCAGCAATCTGTAGTAAAACTCAGCTATCATGTCATTGTGTAATAAATGTCCCAAAAATGTATTGTTAAACATACAATAAATGCAGCAGGCCCTTCTGACTGAAAACTATTACTGTACAAAATCCATGCTGCAGATATTAAACAGATTAAAAGCTAGCTAGTTGATCAATGTAAGCAATTAAACAGATTGAAATACGGTGAGCAAAGGCACATGTTTTTAGTCCGGTATTCCTCAACATACTGATGCTTGCATATGTGAAATCACTGCTGGGAAAAGTAGTAGATAATGAATTGAAGGAGAGATCACATTATGAGGGTTATTTAGATCACACTGTGCACAATATTTTTATCTCTTTATCTAAGGAAATGAGGCTTAAGCAATTGCAGTATTGGGTGTTTCCTTTTCCATTCATCCTTTCCACCTCCAAGGACTTTTGAACATGCTGGCCCACTTAATCATATTTGCAAATACATATGAATCTTGAAAGGTTAAATTCATACAACCATGGGGGGGAAAAGCAGTTACACATGAGATAAGGAAGAGGAAGGTAAAGCATGGGTGCTCAGCAGCTGGCCAGGCAGCACATGGTTGCATTTACTGCTTGGCTGGTAAGCACAACCCTGGCTTTGGGGTTGTGCATTTCTTGCACAGAGTGTATCATAGCATACAAGGGAGAAGGTGAAACCTTGGGTTACTGCTGCAGGTAGAATTGTGCACCAAAGATGCAAACCCTCAAGAAACAATGTTTGGTGAAGTTCATTGCTTAAAGAGAAGCTTGTTAATATGATCAGTTCCAAGGTCATATTTCGCCGCCTAAAGCATGAAGTCATACAGAATTGGGGTTATTCTGCCAACAATTCATGCCTGAATAATATTAGAGGATTAATGTTCCCACCCGTTACACCTTCATTCTGCTGGAAGTTACCACTCCCATCTGGTACAAATAACAAGAGAGAACATGTCAGTTCTTCACTTTCCAGGCCTTCAGAATATAAACGTATGCCAAATTTCATGGTTAGTTAATACTCAGTTTGTGAACTAGAATATCTCCAGAGCAGATATGCTGCCAATTTTGCTGACTCTGCTTCATGAGCAATGACCTCTTCTAGGAAAGAGGGGCAGAGAGCAAGGGACAGTGATGTGCATCCAGCATGAATTGCCAGAGCTTGGGAGGCAAGATGGACAGCCAGTTCGTGGCAGTGAAGTACAATACTACAAGACAGAGTGCCTGATAATGGGATTAAAATATTGAATGTTTCATGGACAAGTTTAAGGGGAGGACTGGTCATTTTCTACTGAATTTACACAGAGATTTCTGAGGGTACATTCCTCATTATTGTAACAGAAGAAGACATCATGAGATCCAATGACTGGAAACGAAAAGTAGACAAGTTCAGGCCAGAGATAAGGTTTGACTCTAAAGGCTCTCAAACCATTAGAACAATTTCCCTGGAGGTGTGTTAATTTAGTCATCATGTGAAGTATTTAAATCAAAACTAAGAACATAAATTAAAAATGGCTGTGCTGAGTCAGATCAGAGGCCTGTCTGGCCCGATGTTGTGTTTCTAGAAGTGGCCAGTGAGGCGAGAGAGCTCAATAGGGGATGGAGGTGGGGATCCCAGCAGTTGTTGGACTCATTTCCATCCCCTCTGGGATGTTATGAGAGGTTGTCTCTTTTCTGGAGAACACAACTGAGCAGCACTCACATCTTCTTTCCAAAGTTGATGATTCCTAACCTGGTGCATCTTTCAGGAAAAGCCATTCCAAAACTCAGTATCCATCTTTATGTCTTTTAGCCTTATACTATATATTTTAAGCAGAAGATTGGGTCTTGATGCAAAATTCGGTGACAATTTCTGCCCTGTTCTATATAGAAGATCACATCAGTGATACCTCTGGTTTCTGTTAGCCTTGAAATTACTGAGCAAAACTTGGTTGCAACAAAGTTGATAATAATAAAAAAGAATAATCATTGTCTTCCATGGATTATTACACTCTCTAATCCTGAACCCAAAGCAGTGACTTGAAACCATCTGACTAACACGCTGATGCCCTATCAATATGGCCATGTTTCAGACAGGTTAGGGAGAGAAATAGGAAGAAAATCCATCAGAAAAGTAACAGAAGTACAGCATTTGCTGTGTCTCTGCCATATCAAGCACAACACTGCACATTCATTTCTGGGTAGATCTGACTTTCCTGAAGACTGCTGCAGTTAACAAACCAACTGGTTATCTTTCTATCACATTTACAAGAGAAATCCATCCGCACCAATTTACTTGATTAGCAAGATTTTTCCTTCAGCAAAATCCATCAGCTGAGTACCAGTGCATCAAGTGAGCATGACACTATATAAAGATGTATATATTCACTGAAACATGGAGACTGTTTAACAGAAACAGTGTGTTCCTCAGAAGTGTGAGTCCATAGACAAATCACTCTTAAGGTTGAAAAAAGGGAAAAGAGTAGCGTGGTTGTATTTGCAGCAGTGTATACCACAGAATATTTACACTGGATATTAGATTAATTGATGCCATTTGATGATCTAACAAAGTACTTAGGGAAAAGAAGCTGGAGGGACAATAAGAGTAAACAGAAGTTAAAAAGATTTCTTCAGTGCACAGGAAGTACATCTTAAATGTTTTGGTTCTCATTATGACTGATTCCTGCCTTCAAGGTGGTTTTGTTCATGAAGAAGAGTTTAAAACACGTATCATCATACCAAAATGTTACTGTCAGTAGCCAGGGGAGAGGTAGAAAAAGAGCAGACCAGTGTTACCCCTATGTGGGATATGAGATCACCTGAAAATTTGGGTATTAATGCGATCATTGCTTTATCACATATTTCAATTTTTTTTCATCCTTGATATATATTTCAGCACTTTTCAGTCATTAAAGAAATATGTGTAAAAAGTACAGCCCTTTTAAAATGAAAATAAACTGGTTTAAAACATGTTGCTTGCAAGCATTTGTGATGTTTTAGGAAGAGGTAGCAAGGCAATGGATATTAAGCAAACCTAAGGCATCACAAGTACTGAAGTGGTAAGGGCTTTTTCTCTCCCTTTACTGAGTTATATTGTAATTCTTCAGAGTTATCACCAGGTGGCAATATCATGACCATAAAAGTCTAATTTTTCTGAAGTGGGGAACAGTTAGGCATGAGGAAGTGATGTATCCCTGTGCTGCAATCGTTCCAGGAAACAGTTAGATTACAGTCTCCAGAAAGGTTCAGATTTCCGTCTAACTTCGTCTTGTGTACAGAGCTATAGCCAGTATTGAAAATATTAGTTAAGCCTCCAGGTTCCCTTTAAATTGTATCCTTTAGCTCTTTTTTTTTTTTTTCCTTTTTTTTTAAAAAAAACTTGGGTTGTCAAGAATTCATGATGAAGAGCCTTTCTTTTTCTCTCATACTTGTCTCTGTTCTATTTATGAACAGCTTATTAGAAGTGCAGGGAAGGAGATGGAATGGTGAAGGTACAACACTAAACTTGGAAAACATTGTTACTGGAAGATGCTATGACTATATTAGAGTTGTGAATCCTGCTGTTGGGTAAGTTTTGTTTGTTTCTGGATTATTTTTTTGTTCTGTACAAAATGGTTATTAATCAGAAGCCTGATGTTTTGCTCCTAGCCACAAAATTGAGCCTATTGAAACCAACATGCTGTGTGGAAACAAAAATTGAACCTTGACAGGTCTCATATTAATAAAAATAGTGTAATTAAGGCAAGATTTTTAATCCTTCAGTGTTTTTATTTCACATTTCTCCCCTCCTAGTGTCACAGTGTTCCGTAAGGAGAACACCGCACAGAAATGGTGGGGATGGTATTTCTACAGTACCAAATCTGACAGTGCTCCTGGGAAGACCAGCTTTACTTTGCGTGCCTTGTATGTCAGGACATCTAAGAAGGAAAGAACCACACTTTATAGCTATCCTGTGGTACTGAAAGAGACTGGTTAGCTCATCTACCTGAAAAATCAAGTAGTAATCAACTGCTGAAGTATGATTGCCCATGAGTTTTCATTGTCTGTGTTAATTACACAGAACTGGAATTAAGTCACACACTTTGCTAAAACGGCCACTTTTTCTGTCTTCCTTATGTTGTTCAGGCTTCAGTAAAAATGAAAAAACTAAAGACAGTCTCCTGGAGTTTAGTCCTTTATTCAGCCACTAAAACTTTTCTTGGTAGTTTAAAGAGGTATTTGTAGAGGGGGCCTGGCTGGGTTCCTGCAGCATTGAATCATAAACAGGGTGAGATTATGTTGCATAATACCAGCAAATATCACCTCCTTCCCACAACCTCCCGTTTTCAGTTCCTGTTGCGAAGCAGAAGATACAGGACTGAAAACAGGTTTGTGGCTTTTAATAAAGGCAAAACATGTTTCTTTCTAATAACATTCTTAACTTATCAGAAGCATTTTAGTTCAAGTTCCCCAGGAAAGAAAAAAATCATCCTAATGCCATTAACACACTACTAAAATCTCAGCTGAACAATTCAAGTTTGGCAAATTTATAAACATGTCACAGCAGAAAGTGCCAGTAAGCTTTAACTATAGATTTCTACACACCTACAATATAATACATAATACAGACAACAAAAATTTAAGTCGGTTAACTGTTGCGTAGGTAAATGAAGTCTGGTCTTGCAGTAGGCTCTAGATAGGTAGAGTTCCTGCTGGAGTTAACAGCTATCACTTCATTTATATTTGAAGCAGGACATGACTAATAATACAGAATACACTAAAATGAGCAACATAAAGGATTGTTATTGTGGTAATGTTAACTTTATCGTTAGCTGATTTGCGCTTTTAGGAATGTAAATACAGTATTTTTGAAAGTATGTCTATATCACATTTATCACAGTTCTGTGGTCTACTTAATTCCTGTGACATTTTCACAATATAATTTTAAAATTGAAAAGTCTGAACCCATTCATCAAACTATTCTTACTCAGAAGAGCATAAAGCCAGGCTGGACATTAGGACTGCTTTCCTGAATTAAGGCCCAAAATGGCATTATAAAAAGACAAGCTGCACAATTAATTTCATACTATGTATTTTTTTTCTCTTTCCCTTAGGTCTATAAGCAAATACTGTAATCTAAACAAAATGGAAATTTCATACTGCACAGGTGCAAAACAGATATTCTAATTATTTATAACCCTTTCTGTTCATTGTCTGTTTCTTAACTGCCCCCAGGCTACCTTTTACAGAAGCACAGCCATATGGATAGGTTTTGCCTCTGAATTTATATTCAAATAGAATAATTTTTTTAAAATACTTTGCTAACAGAAAAAAAGCTAGCAAACCATGTCTGCAACATAGTTAAAACATAAAGGTATTTACAGAAACATAAGAAAAACTTTCCTTTACATTAAAACAGGACGTGCAAAATGGCAGTTAAAAGAGGCGTTTTACAAAATGTTATGATAACATAGAAGTGAGAGATTTGAATGAAAATAATATTTGAAATTTTCTAGTAGGAGTATGCTGTGTAACACAGATGTTGCCATAGTGCATTTCCCCCATATTTCTTTATTGGTAGTATATAATGGAAGTTCTGAAAACACATTTTTTTAATTGTCTAATATGAAATAAATCTAGTATGACTTACAAATGTCTGTTAAGATTCCCCACCCTGTAGTTTCAAAAAGTATTTTCGCCAGCTAAGAAATTTTGAGTAACAAAGCAGAATAATCTTTGATTTACAAGCTGTTCAAACATGGAAGAGAAAACATGAAGAAAAATAATGTAGTAAGTGAATTAACCAGAAAATTACTGCTGCATTCAACTGTCAAGAAAGATGTTAAGAGTTCAGTTGATCGTAATTTACAAGTACTAGCATGAATAAGTGAGCACTTACAGTAGACAGCTCTTTAGCAGAATGAGACATAGGTATATACAGTTGTAAGAAGCATAAGTTTAATAGCTTGAAATCATAAGTAGGGTGCAAGTCCTTTTATTAAGGCTATTTAAACATCGGAACTGCTGATCAAGGGTCATATTGCATCACTGAAGATTTTCAGATCAAGATCCCATATTTGCTTACAATACATTGGGGTTTTTTATATAATTGTTGGAAGCATGACCAGAGATTACTGTAACAGAATCTGTGGTCTGTTTCCTGCATGGGAGCTGCATAGCTCATCCACAAAGGGTCCCTTAACTTTAAAGTATCTGTGACATTCATCATTGCCAAGCAGCTCCTTAAAGAATCTCACAAGGAGAAGCACCAGCAGAAACTGCATTGTCTATGGATGACATTAAATGAGCAAAACACTATAATGGCAATTTGTGGTTTACTTACAGGGACTGCTGTTGTTCAAGCTGCAGCTTTGCAATTGCAGCTGTTTGCATTAGGAATGCTGTATGCACATAAAATACATTATTCTGTTCTGCGGAGTGTTTTAGGCATAGACGTTGTCACAGTATATGTGGGGAAGGTACTGTGGGAAAGTGGTGAAAGTAGCAATTCCCTTTTTACTTACTCCAGGCAGGCTCAAAACTGTGACAGATGAGATCCTGAAAATCCAGAGAGATAAAACACTTCTGTCCCTAGATGGCCTGGGCTTCCACGGAAGATTATTGTTCCCAAGGCAGAGCTGGCAGAAGAGAATTGTTGAAATGCACAGCCTAGCATCTTATTTCAGGCCTCCCATCATGAGCAGTTTAAATGTTGAATCCCAACAGTATACTTGTAGCTACTGCACAATGACAGTATGTGTCCCACACAGTCACTGTACTCATTTCAGCAAGGTAAAGCTGCATAATCCTAGGGCCTATATAGACAGAAGGCATCGCTTTGTCAAAACCATTATTCTACCATAAAAACTTTTTAGTAATTCCTCCTGCATTTGAATCTGTCATTTTAAGAGTAATTTTGCATTCCAGTAGCCTTGCACATTTAGCTATGCAACTGAAATGGCTTTTTGAATCTGGAAAATTTGAAAGATGACTGTTTTCTTTAGTATTTCTACAGTGCTGGATAGCAAGCTCACTGTGTATACTGTACTAACACTTTAGTTGAATCACTGTATTTTTAATTCCACACTGTAAATCCCAGTACTTTCATTGCTACTTCTTCCTAATCTGCTGCTGTTAAGAGTCAGGAAAAGACAAGATCTATATGCTTTTCCTGGGTTGCAGGTTTTCTACCACCCTGATTTTAGTGTTCTCTTAACCTTGTAGGGGTTTTAATTTGGGAATTCGAAGAAGTTGGAAACAAATTACTTTCTTGCTCTGCTTTGAAAACCCAATTCTGCTATTTGTTTGTTTCAATGATTACAGTGAGAAGAATTGTTCAGAGATATGGGAAGCATTTAAAAATGCATTTATTAACAAGGATCCTTGCAGCATTCTACCTAAGGACTATGAATTATTCATCAACCTGTCATTGCACACAATTCCACCTAACAAGGTAATGATTATTAATGTTATATGAAGAGTCCTGTGACATCTGGCAGATTTTCCGTGACACAGTTAAAAAAATGACCAAGAGTCATTTTTCAGCTGACTCATGATTCGTTATTTTTGTTCTGTCTAGAATCTACAAACTAGGCTCAGGTTTGCTGGCATTTTGCAATGTGTTTGGCTGCATTCATTTAATGGGTTAACTTCTCAACAACTTCTCTATTTTCATACTACAAAGATCCCCCATTTTTCCTGCTGTGCCAGGAGCTCTGTCATAGTCCCTGAACTTCCACTTTACTTTTCCTCAAGGTGGGTGCTCTGCCTGCAGAGACTGTACCTGCTATCATCTTTTGCTTCCACTCCTCACAGCCAAGTCTCAGGGCAATGACATGTTAAACATTGACATGTTAAACAAGGATAAGCAGAAATGAGATAGGACGCCGTTATATGCTAGAAAACAGTAAACGTTTGACGTGTTGGCAATTGCAGAGAACTGTGAAAGTGCAAAAACCACAGCTCTTTGTGCCATTGTATCCCATCAGAACGTGTGCTTTGGCCTTCTCTAAAAGGTTGTTATTTAAAGCAGTTTTTCCTCTAGCACAATTAATCCTTATCTCTAAATGATGCAATCTAAACCAACAAATACTCCTGTCAACATGTATTAATTCATGAAAGAGTTCTGCAAACACAGAAATAACAGCTGGATGTATGATTTTTTCACACCATAAGCCAACACAGCAGTGTGAAGGAACTCTGGTAAGATATATCCGGCTTATAAATATCTGTCTTCCTTTTTTTCTCCCTTTTCCAAAATCCATCCACTGAGGAAGGCAAAACTAGGCCTAACAATATTTAATATAGATCCATATCCATTCCCATCACAGTATGAATGCCCCTCAAGCCTCTAGTGATCAGAATTTGCACCACTGTAAAAAAAAAAAAAACCACTTTATTCCTCTAAAGAGATAGCTAACAGTTCTGATTATTAGCTTGATTTTGAAAGAAATACCAAAACATGTTTTAAACTGTTTTCAACACCCCATAATCTCATTGTGTCCACACCCAAGTGATGGTTCATTTCTTCTCAATTTTTTTTTTTTTTTTCTTATATAGTCTCTCTTCTGGGAAAATAATCAGCTGCTAGCCAATAGCTTTGCTGGCAGAGGTCGTCGCTACCTGGCTCTGGGTGATACTCTCTTTGGCTTCGTTGGAGATTTTCTAAACTGGTGTGGGCAGGCAAACAGCAATGGTAAGACAATGAGTGCTATATTAAACATCTGTCTATAAAACCATAGTGGAGACTGACTGCTGTGTACCAGAGGAGCTTATTTTGCTCTTACCCTATAAAAAATCAGGGATAGCTTCACTGCCTCATTCTCTCCTGTTTTGTATGAACACTTAACATTTCAGTCAGGAGATCACACAGTGAAATCTAAACAGTGCTGTACAGAAGATAAACCTCCTTCTCAGTCCTCTGAACATGGAACTCTGCATCCCAGGTATAGAGTTAGAGCCATTTCAGCCAAGTGATTGAAGCCACAAAATGTCATTGTGTGTAAACTGCAAAAGATAGAAAATGATAGAAGAAAATACATCTGTCTGCTTTCAGTGTTATGTCTGACCATCTTGTATGTTCAGTGAGTAATGTGCAAATTACTTAATTGCTTTCTAAGGTTACTTTATACAGTCATTATGTCTCTAATAGCAAAAATCACATGCTTTCCTACAGAACTGGACTATGAATCCTGCCCTACCACGGAAGAATGTGAGAACAATGCAGTGGAATCTTTCTGGAGGATGGCCTCAATCACTGTAAATAGTGCATTAGTGCTGACTTTGTACATTAGTGAGTGTGTCCTGGGTGGTTCTGGAAAACACTGCCAGATCAAAACAGATTTAAGTCTGTAACCATGCTAGATTATTACCTCTGATACAAATACACTGGTTTAGACTGGGTACAGTGTTTTAGCAAGAAGAACCTAACTTTCACCTTAGCTAGATAATGTATTAAAATTCTGTGTTAGCTTTGTTAATATATATATTAAGCATATACTAAACACAATAAACACACTAGTTGTCTGCAGGTCCTAAGAGACATTTGACAGCCTTAGTGGAAGCCTTTTATTCACAGATCAAACCCAACAGAGAGTGCCAAAATACTTTCTTCCTATGCTGAAGAAACTATTTATAGGTGTGAGAAAATAGTTTAGGAAAATGCATTGAATTAATGCACTGGCTATTTAGTTCTTGTCCTTCTACTGCAGTGACCTGCTAGGGTGCTAGTTTGGTATTATTTTCACAATTCTGATATGCTTCTTGCTAAAATTATTTTCTTGGTCATTGTTGCTTGTGATACAATAACAAACCATATGACAAATCTGTAAGATGAGTTCTGAAAAAAAAAATTGTTATGTATTGCAGTATGCACAGCACAGTTCTGGGGTGATACATGTCTTGTTGAATGGTTCTGCAGTCGGAGGAGCTTATCCAGCCCCAGGGTAAGAAAACTGACTTATTTATGTGTACAAGGTCTGATGCCTGCAAAAAAAAAAAAAAAGGTCAACCAGTCCTTTGGGTCTAAAGCTACACAAAACACGAGAAGTATAGCTGAAAGCCTGTTGCATCAAAGTCTGCTGTGTTGTGGGGACAACTATTAATTGCCCCCAGCTGTAGGAATTAACATGAAATGGATGGAAACTCCTTTTGACTCCTGTATTTTACAAACTGCTGTGGCACACAGGATGAATGCTCTTTGAAAGGAGCCTTCAAGTCAGCCAACATACTATGGCAAAATATGTATGTCAGAGATGAGTGTTACAGAATTTCTGTTCAGGGACATCTCCAAGGAGAGGCCATCCTTAAAAGAAGTGTAGCCTCTGTCAGGCCTAGGAGCAAAGTTGATAAGTTCTATAAGGAAAGTGCTTTGTCCTGGTATTTCTCCATGGCCTAGAGAGAAGGTAGTTTGAGATCATCACGGTTTAAGAAAGCAAAAAAACTCGTTAAGGAGAGTAACAGTAAGGATTAGCTTCCTCTTCTCCTTATTCCCTTACATGTTAAAGACAGATGTATTTTCCCTGATTTACAAGTGTACCACTATGCAGAAGTTCATCTAAGCTTCTATTTTAAATTTATTGAAAAAGTAGACACTAAAGAACTTCTACTGAAAATGTGGCTGTAGTGACTGCCTACCTTTGATGAAAAATACATCTTTCAACTGTCCTGTCCAAGGCAGATCAAAAAAACATCTTTTAAAAACACACAGAACAAATCCTCTTTCTGCATGCTCACTGAGGACTAAAAATTGTCACTGAAAAGTCAGTTTTATCTCCAGATAGGAGAGAAACAAGAACCATCTGTTCCAAAACACCTACCACCTACTTGCCTCCATTCCCAAAAGGTCCACCCCTGCACACAGCTTTCAGCTAATCAAGAAGACTTATATGGTCTCCTTGGGTTGGTCAGGTGGTCAGCTGGGATCAGGTCTTCTGCAGATGATGGTAACTGGCAGCAGGTCAATGCCCAAAATCCAGTATAGATTCCTTATTTCAGAAACAGATTCCTTATTTCTGTTAATTTCTAGATTCCTTATTTCAGAATCCTCTTACACATAAATTAATTCCACCAGTTCCCTGGGTTGCTTGTGTGGAGGCATCATGACCAGTGAAATCTCCACCACTGGAACACAGTCTGCCAAGAAAAAAACAAAGGCAGTTACTACATACGTTTTCTTTGCTGTGTATCTTCTGATCCATTTATGACTGAATTTAAGAGATGTTTCAAAGAGACCTGGAGTTTGATAATTAATGGCAGAAGGTGAAAGATCTACCTGTCTTCCTAAACATCAGTCTGGTTTGTTTTCAGGCATTTCAAATCCACTTCCAAAGTTTTATCTTGCATTGTAGTTTGTACGCTTAAATCATCATTAAGTCACCTGTTATCATTTCAGTTAAGATGCATTTCTCACTTTACTGCAAAATAACTTTCCTCATTCACACAGTATGAATGTAGTTGGCAGCCTTATTTAATATTATTAGTTGGTTCAAAACATGGTTTCAAGTCAGTTGTACACTATTTCTCAACAGTTTCTGACTCCTCTAGTTAAAGATTCCTTTATATTTTGGAGGAAGCTTCATTTTTTTCTGGCAATAACATATGCATGAATGAGCAAATGAGTTAAAAATAAATGGAACCTTTATTTTTGGTTATATTTTCACTATGTGTTTAAGATAGTTTTGGACACCTTGACAGACAGACAAACCTGCTGTTGCTGCTATTGCTCTCTGGTTAGCCACAGCCGTACCAGACTTGACACAGAGGGCGACTGTTGCTATCCACCCCTTCAGTTTTCACTTCTCCAGAAGTTTAAATTAACTTTCTAACTTCATGAACAGGTCTCAGCTGGCTGCCAACAGACACTGACAACCACCACGTCTTGGGCTTCCATGCCAGAGCACCAGTAGTTCTCCTGCAACCATGAGGAGGACAGAGCAATGGTCATGCTGCCAGTGCTGGTCTCATCCAGGAGATGACAACAAACTATCCCTTCTAGTCTAGGGGGTCTCAGAGAATTTAAAGTGGCTAAGAGACACAAAAGCCCAGATGTAGACATTTAAGAGCCATGGTAGGCAAATTAGAGCACGTGCCTAGGCTCAGGCTTGGACCAAGCATTCAGTGAGGACACAGCCCTTACAAGTTTCTGAGGAAATAAAAAAAAAAAAAAAGAAGGGGCAATTAAAAGGTTGGAAATCATCACTACATCTTGCTGGAGGGGATAGAAATCTGTGGCTTTGAAATGCCTGCTTCTCACCAAAAAAAATCAGTTTACAGACATTAAAATGATCCCTTGGATTTGGCATCTTTACACTAGATATTAGGAAGAAATTCTTCACCGTGAGGGTGTTGAGGTACTGGAACATGTTTCCCAGAGCAGCTGTGGCTGCCCCCTCCCTGGAAGGGTTCAAGGCCAGGTTGGACGGGGCTGGGAGCACCCTGGGCTGGGGGAAGGGGGCCCTGCCCATGGCAGGGGGGTGGGAACGAAATGATCTTTAAGGTCCCTTCCAACCCAACCCATTCTATGATTCTATAATTCTATGATTTAGTTGCCATTTTGTTATCTTGTTTTAATTGTTATTTAAATCCCTATGAAAGTAAATCCCCTTACACAAAACAATAAAGTGGAAGATTCCTGAGGCTAGGGATGGACATATCTAGAAGTTTCTCTTTTATGGTCTTATATATCCTAGAGAAATACTTCATGTTACTGTTGTTTTGATTTTGTACCTAAAAATATATTTGTCTTGTGGCTGTTATTTTTTTATTTAAAGCAAAATTGTATTGTGTCTAAAAGCAATAACTACAAGAATGACCTTTTTCTTTTTTTACTAAGTATCAAATGCTTTTTGTTTTGTTTTTGCATTTTTTAAAGTTCAGTTCATCCTGGTTCACCTCTAAGTTGTAACTTTTTTTCAGTTGAGCCCCTCTAAGGTGATGAATATGAAAACAAAACTACTGATTAAATGCCTTTGACCTTTGAGTACATTCAGAATGTGAATCATATTTTTTCTACTCTGTGTTGAGTCTGATTGTAATCAGAGGATATAAACATAAAATTGAGCAAGCCCATATCCAGCAGGATCAGAGCCTTCATTATTGCAAAGGGAAAACAGATTTTTTATCATTCGTGTTCTTTATAGTTCTAAAAATTTGTTTCTTGAATCAGTTTTTTTGCAGATTATGAAATACCTAATCTCCAGAAAGACAAAGTCTCACAAATTGTCATTTGGGTTGTGGATGATATTAAAGGACCAGATAGGTAAGTTATGTCTTCCAAAAAATTAAATTTCTCCTTTTTGGACCTGTCTTTAGAATTTCACCTTGGCTTTCTGTTTGATTAAATTTGCATAGCAATTAAACTAAAAAAATTTAGATGCTTTCACTAACACAGAAGGCACACCCTTCCATTCCCAAAGAGTACAGAAATACCAGAATTAGACAAAACATAAATAAATTCTAATATTAGGTCTGGAGTCCTCTCCATTAGATATGTGTGTGGATTTGAGACCTTGAGTGAAGATATGGCATGTTCAGTTCTACTAGGAAGAGTCAATCTGAATTTCAGATTAAATGCTGACATGAAATATTTCTTTCACCTTACCATATACATTCTTTTAATTTTCACCTATCTTAACTGTTTGAAAATAAGTAGAAGCAGAGAAATACCACCAGGGGGCTTGTTTTCTCTCCATACTAAAAATCAGTCCAATAATAAAATGTAGGCTCTAAAAAGATCTAATTTTGCTGTTCACTTAATTTTTAAAACAGCAAACAAACAAACAAACAAACCAAAACAGATCAGTCCAAACAGAATAGCCTGTTGGTAAATAGCCAAAGTGACAACCTTCAACAGGAACATAATGGAAAATGGACTGTGAAGTTACATAAATTAAGTAATTAGGCCAGAAATTAGGCCTGGTTTGGGATTAATTACAGGAAGAGTTAAATAGTCTATTCATTATAGCTTTTGTGGAAGTCCCTACAAATGTACATAGATGAATTGGGAGTAGGGGAACAGAGGTCTATTTTACCCCAACCATCTGCAGGGTTCCTGCAGTTTAATTCAACATGGTGACACTTCATTGCTGTTAAAACTGCCCTGGCTGAAGAGGGCCAGAGAAATGGACCCAGATGTCACCATATCCACCACTGGTGGCTGAATGTCTGGTGTCATCTGCATTCTTAGGAGTGTGAGGCTTCTGTTCCTGCTACCCAATGCTTTTTAGTTGCAGCCGTTCATTTTGTGTCATTTCCCCTTCACATCTCATCTCCTCTCTTTCCTATCTCCTTTTGCTTCCCTTTCATTCACTTTTGGCATGGCCAACACAGACCACATATTTTTAAACTGAAAGAGGGCAAATTTAAGTAAGATATAAGAAAGAAGTTCTTCACTGTGGGGGTGGTGAGGCACTGGCACAGGGTGCCGAGAGCAGCTGTGGCTGCCCCCTCCCTGGAAGGGTTCAAGGCCAGGCTGGACGGGGCTGGGAGCACCCTGGGCTGGGGGAAGGTGTCCCTGCCCATGGCAGGGGGGTTGGAACTGGATGATCTTTAATGTCCATTCCAACCAAAACCATTCTGTGATTTTACCGTAGTGCTGTGGAGTCTATGAAGCATAGTTCAGATTAGTGTTTCTCAGCCTTTCTCTTTAAATCAAAGAATCATACCCTTTTGGAGAAAAACACAAACAACTCACTTTTGCACAAGTTGCCCTTATTACAAAGAAAATCTAAGACAAGCACTGAATGTTAATTTATCTTTCAGTTAATGGATGCATGAGAATATTTGTGTATTATTATTAATTTTTTAATAATTTTTTTGGTCCCTATATGATTTCTTTAGTCATGAATATTTAGTAACCAATGGGTAAGTAGCACTGGACTTAATACTTCATGTTGATGCAAGTTTTAGAGGTCTCAGTAGGTTTTGCACTATGCTAAACTTTCTTTTGCTAGTTGGACCACAAATTTAAAAATAAGTGCTAGACACAAAAGCTGTGTTTAGGATTGTTTCTGTTTTCTTCTCTCTCCTTGTGTTTTTCTGTTGTTCTGTATTCAAGAGAGAGGACAGGCTTCTAACAAGAATCATTCTAATTTATTACAGCCAACTTATTCTGTAAAGACAACAAGCATCAACTTTAGCACCACCTAAATAGCTGCCAAAGAATATTACAAATGAAACATTCATTATTTTATAAAATTATTTAGCTCTTTTTCTGATTGTCTAGTGAAATATTAAAGGTGGGAATATTGGTTAATAGAATCCGCAAGTGCTACTCTGGCTGAAGTCAATCTTCCGGTCTCTGCAAACTGAGTATAAAGTGTTAAACAACTGTAAGAAAATGAAGCATTGTAAATAGCAATGTACACCAGTTTTCTGTAGGTGTTAAGGAATAGAGAAGAGGCAAAGTAATGGCAATTTACTATACTAATTCCATCAAGTTCAGTGAAGGGAAATTAGATAATAAAAGACTTGCAATAATATTAAAATCCTTTCTCACAGAGATTCCTGTGGAACTCATACTGTAAAGGTATTAGAAAACAGGCTGAAAACCCTTGGTTATGATGTCACCTGCACCGACAATTACAAGTAAGTGAAAATCCATCATGAATATGGAATATTTGCAGAAGCATCTCATCTATTTTAAATGGTTTCTTACTTTCCAATACTTAAGTGCCATTAATGTTGTGTTTTCAGTAAGAGAGTGGTATGTTGGAGGGGTGATGTCACATTTTTCAGACTTACCATTTTTCAGCCATGAATTAGCAAAAGACTACACTGTATTGTATAACTATAATTAAGTGGAACATCGTACTTACCCAGTGACAGACACAGAAGATGGCCTCATGTATTCCACTTCACTATAAAATCTTTATTTGGATTGAAAATCTAAACAACAGTTAAAAATGCTATTGAATGTCTGCAGAATTTCTAGTTATTCACAGTACTATTCACAGTTCTAGTTATTCATAGAAGATTGTAAGATAAACATAATTGAAGGCAAGCTTTAGACATGATAACATGGTTGAGTTTTTTTCATTTTTTCATTTGTTTCTGTCAGTCTTCTGCCTGAAAGATGCTAAATAAAATTATATCTTCACAGGTCTGTAATGCTCTTACTTTGCCTGGATTATCCTGATGATTCTAAGTGTACGCTTTCATCGTAAGTAAAGGAAGTTCAATCCATCCTCAGTGTCATTACAACCAAATAAATAATGCAGAAGTCAACAGTTCAAGAGATTCTACTTCTATCATCTATTATATAACACCCATATGCAATATAGAGTATTCTTGAATTTATTACTTACTATGTATTGAGTAAGCAGTTTCTAAGTTTCGATCTACAAATTGTGCACAACTGTCTGTGAGCACCTGCTATTCAAAATTAGTTATTAGTCCTCATTGATCACACAATCACACTGTACATCACTATAGTATGATTGAAGATTGTAAGTATCAGTGTTCTGATGCAAAATCTATTACAAATTTGAATTTGCTTTCATTAATATTCTTCCCTGAATAATGAATTTGTATGTCAAATGGCAGCAGATCTATGGGACATTTCGCCAGCTACTGGAACTTTTAGTTCCAAATTTTGAGGAAGTGTTTTTTTAATCTTCCATTTTGTGTGCAAAATCAATTTCTATATTTTAATGTATTTACCTTGGGTCAGTGGGTTATCTGCAGAGAATGCATATTACATCCAAAATACAAGTTTCTTAATTAGCAAGCATTACTCCCAAACTAGGTTTTAATAGTTTCCCTTCCCATCCATATTTTTCTTTATTATTATATAAAGAGGATTAAATTAATTTATGATGTATTTCAGTGAATTTACAGTAAAGATGTCTGTTTTCAATTGTGGCTAAATTTCTTAATCTATATTCTGTGGCATGTACAGGTACACATAAGGTACTTGAACATCTGAATATGAAAACTTCCTCACAGTTTGGAAAGTTGCAGGATACATAGATGCATAAAAGTTGTTCTCTAGTTATATTATTTTTATGCATAATCCATACATTTGGCCACATCCTATCTCCTACTGTCCTTTCTGCCCTAATTCAAGCACCTGCAACTCTTTTGTATGTTACTACCTATTTAATACTGCAATGATAACTTCTGCTGTGAGAAACCTGATTTGCTGTCCCTGGTTATGCCAGCAGAGAGGTGCGGACTCCTGCTTCCCTGCCTGTGGTTGTGTGGCAGCAGTGCTTCATGCAGTGCAGAAAAGGTGTATATCACTTTCTGTAGCATATGTTCAGTTTTTAATATATCCGTACAGAGAAAGTGAGCATTCTCTGTTCTTGCTGGTCACTGAAAGCTTTTTCTCATCTTGTCATGCAACATTTATTCTTGCATCCAAATTATATCCCATCACTAACCTACAACTGTGTGATGAAAACAGTGGCATTTTAGATATCACTGATACCTCCAGACTCCTTCTAGGTAGCAGATCACAGAACCAGCTCCCAGCCTGTTAAGGCAATTGTTTGTTACTTGATACCACTTGCATGGTGTATTAAAATAGGGTTTCCTTGTTCTGACAGTGAATGGTAAGGCTTTTGTTCATGTGTCAAAGGAAAATACAGTTCTCTCATGCAAAATCACAGTTCTGAATGTGGTGACATTATTATCAAACTGGAAGAAAAAGCATTTTACAGGACTTTAAAAATTATAATATTGTCAACTTTTAACAGAAGAATTTTCTCCCAGGTTTTGAACCATTTCTCTCAAAGTTTTGTAATGTGGGTGCATTTCTCAGCTGAGGAAATATGATTAAAAAGCTTCTGGAAACCATTAATGTATTTTTTGTTTACCTAAGGGATGACCATACTAGTTCTCCAGTATTACCACATAGTGCTTGCAGAATGTAAGCAGAGGAGCAGCCACTCCTTCCTTTCCATCCATATTGGCACTTAAATTATCACAATCACTAGTGTATTCTCAGCACCAGTCTCATACTCTCCTGAGGTAACTACTAACCAACTCAGCTGTTATCATCGTCCTTAGGAAAAGTTTCCTTGCTTCTTTCCTTCCTAAGCCTTCTATTCCCTCCTGTGTGCATGGCCATGTAATAGCCTGGATTCACTTCAAATCTATGCTATCCCTAATCAAGACAGAGCTTCCCAATCTGAATGCTATCATTGCCTCTCCCTGAAATTTAAGTGGCTAAAATACTTCAAGCCAATGAATACTTACACTCTTCCCCAAATCACCTACTTCTCTGCAGTAAAGAACATCTCCATTTAAATTATCTGCCCTTTCAGAAAGAGCCGTAAGCCGATGTACATAAATTATTTGATGATTATCTTCTAGATCTGTTTTCTCTGTGGATGGATCCCTGCTCTCTGATGGTCCATTAACTGACATGGGAACAGTTTGGTCAGTAGTGGTATCACTATTAAGAGCATGTATCTGTTCAGAAAAGGTTTCGTTTGCAGAGTGTGTATGCTCCGTGTACATTCAGTGTTCATACTTCCATTATAAATAGTGAGACTATGCATGCAGGCTCTGTTGCATCCCCTTTCACAATGGCAATTTGCTGTTACTAGACTGATAGTTGCCTTCTCAGCCTCCAGAAAATAATGTCCCAAGCCCAAAAATATCAGAGTTGTTCAAGTGACTTTTTTTGTCATGGCAACTGCTGTTACACTGGCGTACCAAAGGAGAGGGGTGTGTCTGGGTAGACAGACCTAGAAGGTGCTGTCATGTACTCGGGGCTTCTTGCGTAGTGAAAGTGCCCATAACTCCTCTCCAGATGAACTGTGTCCCTGCTGAGTCAAAATTTGGACTTTGGCGTATTAAGCTGACACCCTGATGTTTGAAGAAAACTTTTAAGTAAAAAAATACCCACTAGATGGCATACATGGCTCACAAACGAAACAGAAAGGAAGCCAGATGCAACCTATTAGCAGTGGCATTTATTACTTGCATTATTGCAATGTCAGGGAGACTTGGAAATGGATCTGGATACTGTTGTATCAAGTGCTGTAAAAATTACAGACCTCTAGGACCAGTGCTGTCTAGAAGAGCTCTATACTATCTCAAGCATAAGGCCAGAGCCAGAAAATGGATGTAGAGAGACAAGGAGGCTCAGGTATTAAGGTAGAAAGGAGCGTTCCCAGGGTTTTGCACAGACACCCTGTTTATAAAATCATGACAGCCAAAGGGAGTCTGGTGGCAAGCTCTTATAAAGAAACTTCTAGCTTAGCACTTGGGCTGCAAACTTCACCCTTGGCAACAAACCCCCGATATTTAAAAGAATCCTAACTCAGCTCTGTGCTGTGAACATCCTGTTTGTTTTCTTTTCTTCAGATCTGCACCAGCAGCACAAAGAGGACCTGTATCTTCAGACAGAGGAGGCAGCTGGAACAAGCTCATGTTTGTTTCTTTTGCAGGCTTTTTGTTCAGATTTGCTTTAGTCTACTAAGATAATCAACTGAATCCATATCCTCTGTTTGCCTTAGCTGGCTATAATTCTGGCTTCAACTAATTTCTAACTGCAACTCCACCGTGCTTCTATCTAGATACCAGCTGCTTTTAGTATCAAAAATTATTCTATTGCTGCCAGAAAGCCTCACTCTTCATTTCCTTTTCTTGAATAGAAGAAATCTACTGCTATATCCACTTATCCTTGCCCTCCAGAATTAAACTGAGAATAATAATTCATGTTCACATATTTCAGAAACAAAAGCAAAACGATGTGTGTCATACATCTCCCACACAGCTTACTTGTTTGTAAAACAGTCCTAGCATTTGGCCTTGGAAACTATGTGTCTGATTATCTTATTTTGGGAAGGGGAAATACAAATAAAGATGGGAGAGAGCTTAAATTGCTCAGTTGGTACAAGATACAGTAGGTGAGATGGGAAAAATGAAACTCATTTTCATAAGTGGTCCAGTACTTGGGCCAAACTTACCTGAAACTACTGTACAGCGAGATCCTGGCTTACATACTTACATACAGTATCTTACCACATAATAATGATTGCTTCATCATCCACACAGCTGTCCCTCAGCTGCTATTTCCTGGTGCCTGGATAGCCAGCAGTCAGGAATACCAGGTCTTGAAAGTTCCACAGTTTTCCACCATGATGTGATTTATGGCATATCAAATTCAGATGAGAACCTGCCAAGTCAGACATCTGCCTGCTTGCAATGAACTCGGTTAGCATGCTTCAGAATATATTGAGGAGAGAGGAGATGCCATCTTGAAGGTCTCTTGAGTTACTTCTGTGAATGTTCCAAACAGATGCTCCTCTGAAGCACCAAGACATCCAGCTACCAAGATGACACATAAATCTCTGGAAAAAAATAGCTGTTCTTCTAGAAAATAACTTTAAGTAGAATTTTGTTGCACATTCTCTGTTAGTTTCTGTATTATTTATTTGTGTTTGTATTAGCTAATTGTTGTCAGGAATTGGGACAGGATGTTCCTGATATCTCAGTGTATCCGATTCAGGACTCCGTAGTAGATTTACATCCATTCAGTCCCTGGTACAACTATATCATGTTGTTTGTTTGAAAGACAAAATAGCTAAAATATGTTGTTGTTGCTTATTTGTCTGGCTTCCATTCCTGTAATAATCTTTAATTTGGTTTTAATGGAAATACCTGTATATTACACTCTTAGTTGTGTTTGCCTCTGTCACACCTGGGTTCAGGCTCCAGCTTGAAGGACTTTAGTGTCTATTTCAGACACTTGCAAGAGTACTGAAATCAGAAGTTACAGAAAATCTGGGCGGTATTACACCTCAAAATTGTTCCCTACCTATGCTGAAACATTAGTCCTTTGATTAGTTCCTTCAACATCCTCCTCATTTTTATTTCTTGTTTGATGCTGTCCTTAACAGCAGCTGCCAGAATAAAAAGAGAGGTATCTGTTTGCAACACAGACACATCTCAGATAACTAAACCCAAGCAGTTTTGATCAGTCTTCTATTTGTCCACAGCAGATCACATCATGAAACATTTTGGACTTCAGGCTGTACAGATAGTGCATATGAGGCTCACAGATAGGTGTCTAAGCCACCGTTTGGTCTAATGTTGTCCTACCCATTGACCTGTTGATTAGAGTGTGTGCAGGATTCAGAGAATAACTTCATACTCTTAACAAGCCATGTGCCTCTTAGGCAACTTCCATCCACAAGCCAAGCACCCCAGCTGGCCAACTTCTGCTTTCCAGCCTGTGAAAGCTTCCCAGCTTCTGGATACAATCCACTCCAGCAGTGCAGTCCATTACATATAATACCAAAGACACTGTAGGAAGTGCTCAATAAGTATGGTTTTTTTTTAAAAAAAGGGCAAAATGCAAAGTAGGATAGATACCATTCAAATAATTTGAGGTTATTTACTGCATAACCTTGTATCAAGAACACACTCAGAAACCTCTTGCAGTGTTTTCTTATTTCTAATGTTATTGCCTCTTCTCCCATTACTTCAACTCAGTAGCAAAGATACCAATTTTTTTTTCCAGTGTCTTTTGAATAAAGTGTCTCAAACTTGTTGGAAAAGCTTGGGAAGATCTGTAAAGATTGTTAGCTAACCAACTAATATAGCTGGGAAAACAAACAAACAAAATGGGCAAAATTTTAGCTACATAGACTTCCTGGGATCTTAAAGGCAGCAAATTTCAAGCTGAGTGTTGATCAGTTGTTCTCAATTTAATATAATGGTTATAATCTATGCAAAAGAACAGTGTGACTGGCATCTTGGAAGCAGAGGGACAGAAGCATCAGCAAAGGGAGAAACCATAAGGTCATTTGTTACTCCTGGAGGGAGGGAGAGATGTGAACAAGAACTTGAGAGCAAAAGAATCCCATATATCTCTCTTTTTTATTTCTACATCTACAAAGTGTGTGAACAGTGCTATTTACACATATATTTTACACTTACGTGGTGAGAATTGGGTAGGTATGCCTGTGCCCTGTCTTGAACACTCAGTAAATGCTCTAATTGGCAACGTCTCATGTAACAGCTGTGCCAAACTTGGAGAAATCATAATGTCTAAAAGGCATCTGCTCTTCTATGTAAACTCCTGAAAGCCTGGTAATGTTCAGCAGGGTGCTTCAAATGTGAATTCAGAATGTTTCAATCATTTATACTTGTACTAGCAGTACTGCAAAACCAGCTGTCTCCAGACCTGAACTGAAGGGACAAAATGTTTCATATGAAAATATTATCTATATCACTTAATTTTGAATCCAACTGGATGCCACAATCCTCTGTAGATCTGTTAATATCCAACTATTCATGGCAAATGAAAGCATCATGTACAAGATGCTCTGCATTTCTGCAGACAGACCTGTGGAAGCCACTGATCCTAAGGTAGTATTTCCTGTCTTTGCCTCTTTTGTGGACCACTTAGGAACTCAGTCATGTCACCCTCTTCATTTTAATATAAAAATAAATATAATCTCCTCTTCTGCTAACCTACTATTTTGATTTTACCGCTGCATGTATTCCAGTCACTGAATCTGGCAAAAGTCAAACTCCAATTCAGAATAATTAATTTTTTCAGCATGTATGTGCTGCAAATACATATACAACTGCTTATACCTGTTCTATCTGTTTTTAAATGCAAACTCTCAAGTGCTCTGGAGTAAGAAGTGATGAGAATAAAGCAAGGACAACTTGTTCACCTCTCTGCCCTTTTTATACTGCTGGTGTTTATTTTTGTCATATTGGCCTCGATGTGATACTCAGCTGGCATGACCATGTTTCCAATCAGCAATCTCAAATGTAGTGAAACTTGAACTGAAACCTCAAGAAGTTGTGTAATACTTATTGTTCAAAGAAAGCGAGCTTTTTTGATAGTTTTCAATTGGGTTAGCTATAAATGACTCTGATGTATTCTGCTTCACCAACAGAGAGCATAAAGTGATTTTAGCAGAGCCAGTAAATTTGGTTTAAAATAGCTCAGTATGAGGAGGCACCCCATCTTAACTTAGGGAAATGTTAGGGTGGGTCAAGCCCTTTACACACGTTTTTCCGATTTTCAGGTTTTTCCTAATTCCAGCTTCTGTCAAGTCTAAATTTACTCACCATTTTATTTAAGAAGTGAAGAATACAATCTGCCAGATTTTATTTATAATGTGGAGACATTTGATTTCCTACAGTTCCCCGAGAATTACAAAGGCAAGCTCAGAGGAGACCCCCATTCCCTTACTACAGTAGCAGAGTTCAAGTGCAGGCTGGCAGGGAGAGGGGCGCAGGAACCTGGAGCCTGGGAGCACGGCCCATACGTACCCTCACACCGTGCCAGGGTATCCACCCTGCCTGGGCAGCCCCTCTTTGCCCATCTTCTTCCCTCTTTCCTGCCACTCACAGCAAAGGTGAACCTGATCTCAGTTCAGAAGAGTTACTTCGTATTTTTATCAGGGTGCGTGAGTGGAAAATTATGATGTTGGACGCTTTACAGAAGGAAAATGAAGGAGGAAATTATATTTAATAATACACATTGCCTTTAAGTAATAGGCACTGAAGTAAAGTAACTAGTCCTTGACTTGTGAGCATTTGACTAGGAATACCTCTGCACTGTGTAAGCAGTATGTGTGGTAAACTCCCAAAGTGTGGGCAGAGGGGATGATCCAGAACTGTCTCTCTAGAGTGACTCAAGTTATACCGTTAGTTACAATAATTAAGAAACAAATAGCATTTTTTAATCTCATAACTGTGTTTGCCTGGGCATCTCAGTGATTATACATGATACAGTCTGGTATCAGGTGCTAATAATTGCTTGGATAAATAATTAACAAGGACTGTCAAGTACTGCAGGCATAAACTAGGATGATGTCAAGAATTTGGCAAACACTGGATCACCGAACTCCAGGAGGATTCTTTTTTTTCCGCATTTGCAACAGGTAAAGTCAAGAGAGCAGTGCTAAGAAAATGACAGGTATTCTACATGATATCAGGGTACAGGTGTGGAAAAGTTCCTAGGTCACACTGTGCCATTTCGAAGAGCAGCAAGCGAAGAAGCAAATGAGCAGAAACAAATATTTAATCAAAATCTTGCAATCTCAAATCCCAGCTGTAGGACATGCTGGCCTGTGTCATGCTTCATTCTTACTTTTCCTTTTGTTTTAATATAAAATGCTAGAAAATCCAGCATTGGTTTTTCCACAAAACTCCAAAAATTTTCTGTCACCACTGCCTATTAGCATTAGAGAGCTGCTGGAATAATATGAAAAAGGAGTGATGACAAGCAAAGTGTATGTCATATATCATGCAAAAAGAAGTTAAGAACAGTAAGAATAACCAATAAACTTGGAAGCCACAGCATTAAATCCTGGACAAATATTTGTATGTGTGTATACAAAAGCATATTTTACATATCTGTCAAGCAGAAAAGATCTTGTTTTTCAAGTCTCTTGTTTTCTGACCTTTGAACAATCACATGGATCCTTTCCAAGTGGCAGATCTACCCCCTACAGTTATTTTAGGATAATTTTTGCAAATTACACGCTCCTGTGCTTGCAGAGCATATTTCCGTATCAACTTTGTTTCCTTGGCTGCTTCAGAGGGATGGGAGCCTGCTGGGTATTTCCCTTCAGACTCTGTGAGCAGCATAATAATAGGTACACACCAGAAAACAAGCACTCAATTCCATGGAAGTCAGTGAGGTTACTGCATGTGCTTTACCTCTGCACTAAAACTAAACCTTGAAACTGTTTTGCACAAAAATGTGCAGCAACTGAATCAGAAACCACAGTAAGATCCCTCACTGCTAGGTTATAGTTTTGGTATAGCTCTCACTTCATTGCAAACTCTTCTATTGCAGCTGTTCCATTTTATATAAATAAAACGTGTCCTGAGTTAAAAAAATAAAATATTATCTTCATAGACTGATTCATGTTGAATGGACGATTCATCAAATGTGGGTCCCTCCACCCTGTGAATCGGTGCTTTAAACACTATACCCTTGAATGTGTGAGTTTTTTAATTTAATTTCCTGAAACTTTCATTTGCTTCATTTCCTGAAATGTCTACGTAGGCATATCAAAAAAAGGTGAAGGTGATACAGAAGAATAAAACAACCTGCTTCCCAAAACTGTTCTGGAGCTACTCCACAGCTTGTGTCCCCCACTCCTCCTCCTTCCCCACCAGCAGCGTGTCTGTATGTCAGGGATCTCTGGGCACACTGCCTTGCTCTGGGAGAAAACTAATGCACAAACCCCAGCTATGACCTCGTTTTGCCACAAACTCACCACTTTGGCTGAGCAAGAAACTGGGAACAGCAAAATGCAAAAAGCAGCACTAGTGGGAGCAGGACATTCTTCAGGAAGCACCTGTACAAGCAGCGCCAGGCTCTCCAAGCGAAGGGGAAGGGGCAGATGGCCTGACACTTGAGAGCCAGCAAGGGAAACAAGCACAGAAATGGGAGGAAGAAGCTTGGTCCGAAGAGGGAGAATGTTTTGGACCCTTTGGGATCTTTGTTTGCAACAAACAAAGAAAAAAATCAGTTATTAGTGTCTGTTACTCGGTCTCATGCTGAACAGCCCAGTCAGTGCTGTCATGGCTCCAGCTGGCCGCAGGCGAGCTCGCACAGCAACAAGCGGAGAAGCAAGTGCTATTCAGACAGGCAAGGGGAAAGGAACTAGACTGCACGTCTGTGCAGAGAATGATTAAGGAATAGCTGTTCCCAAACACCTCCTCCCTGGACATGAGCTTTAAATGCACACTGCTGTTAATTTGTAAGGCAGTCAAAACTGTGGTACATTTTGAAACATCTGAGCTAAAGGACAGATGTCACAGCGTCTGAGAAAGATCAGGGTACATCTATATTCTTGTTGGTGTATCTCACCGGATACTTGATCCTACTGAAATAATCTGACTGTCCATAAATCACGTCCTAGAAACAAACTGCTTAAAATCTAGTTGTTCCAGCGCCATTTCAGCAGAGCAAAACACTAATGGAAAAAGCAGGCCACTAATTTAGGGTTCTTAAGCTCTGTCATGGGTCCTGAAAAGCTCTCATCCCTTACGTTATCTCCATAACCTGCAGTGAAGCAATAGCATGTAAAAGATTGGATCTAGTTTTCTATGAAGTGCTTGGTAGGAGTTTCCTGATCAGAAAGATTTTTAGAAAAATTAACGCCTATACAACGAAAATAGCCTTTCAAAACATCCCTGAATCACTACTTAAAGAACTTTACAGGAAAATAGGGAAACGGGAATAATTATCCATACAAAGACAAACAAACCTTACCTACCCAGACAATCAGAAAGGTTTGGAAAGCTAATTTACTGATAAGAAAATTTCAGCACTTACTGATAAAAGATTTCTCCTCCATGCTAAAGCACAATGTTTGATGAGAGGAAAAGACACTTTGCTTCCTTTATTTCTCCAGTTGTGATCTCCCATTTGAAAGTAAGGACATTTGGAAGGACAAAATAGGGTGAAACAGAGATTGTATTCTGGGACTCAAGGTCTCACAGGAACTGAAGAATCCACAACTGCTTCTGCTTTACCAAATCCCTAATGGAAAACATTTGAAGAAAAAGAAGAGGAATTGATCCTGACACAGCCATGCTGTAACTCTTTACCACGGATTTCCTTAATCTCATCTATTTCTTACAAAAATACTAATCTAAGAGGAAGCATTTATTAAAATCTTTTTTAAATTACTGGTGAATGGGTGTCAGAAACCCTGTTGTAAAAGCCTGAACATCCCGAATCTCCGTGAGACACTTCTGTATGCTGTAGCAACAAATATTCCAAAAGAAGATCCAGAAAGTTATCCAGAAAGGGTAGTTTCTTCTGCTCTCTAGAGGGCATTGTAGAAAAGATGGAGCCATACTCTTTTTCAGGGATGCACATTGAAAAGACTAGGGGCAATGGTCAAAACATGCAGCAAGTGAAATTCTGATTAAATATTTTTTAAAAAAATAAATAAATCGTGACAGTGGCTGCCCAGAGAGGTTCTGGATTCTTCATCCATGGAGGTTTTTCAAAACTCCACTGGAGAACGCCTTGAGCAACCTAATCTAACCTTGAAGTTAGCCATGATTTGAGCAATCGGTGGGACCAGATAACCTGCAGAGGTCCCTTCCAATCTACATTGTTGAATGACACTGTGAGTTTTCCAAGAATGGCAATTACTAGATATTTTCTTTCTGGAAGGGCCTGCCATACATAGTACTGTCCCCCTTTTTATTTCATAATGCTAATGCATAACTGGAAAGACAGCTTTATTTTTATAACATCTTTAGCTGTCCATAGAATTTCAGCAGTCAATCATACTGGGTGCATTTATTTTAAAACCTGATGACTAACACATTTTATCAAGGACATTTAAAATTCTAATTTAGGCAGCACAAATAATATTTCACAGCACGTTACCTTATGCACACATGCAACCTTAAGCTACATGGATATTTACTCTTAAACATAACTTATTTCAGCTATTGTCTTCAAGGAAATATTAGCTAGATTCATGTGTTTTCAGTTCCATAAATCCCAGTATCTTTGGAGACCTGCCTGATAAAGTTATTTAGTTCCACTCATTATCCATTAGGAAGCATGCAGATCAGTCTGCATTCTGCAAATCATTAACACAAAATTGTAGCTTCAGAGAACCATATAGTTTGGAAGGGACCTCTCAAAGACAAGAGAAGCTTTGCAGTGATATATGCCAGCTTGTA